CAATTCTCTATAAACTAGTCCACAAAATCTAAAGAGAGGGAACACTACACATTTTGTCCTATGAAGCCATAATTATGCTCACATCTAAAGCACAGAAAGACCCAACAAAACAAGAGAACAAATTGTTGACCCTTAGAGGGCTCTTCAGAATAACATTTTTTTTCCTGAGAAACCAAATGAAAGACCCAGAACTATGTTCAACTGTGAGGTAAAGAAATAAAATTAAGTTTAATCATAGACCTCTTGGATACTACTTACATGGAAGTGTCACTTATTGCACCTATTCTGATACCTTTCTGTACTAGCTTTTGTCATACTTCATAGGCGTTGCAGCATGGTAGGTATGAATACTAACTACTTCCCTAACATGTCAACTTGCCTACTCTTTTATGTACTATAGAAACTCAACTTCAAGGTAGAGGCTTTTAAGTCATATCCAACTAGAATTAGTCGAATTCAGAGACATCCCTGTGAGATTTATTTGGCAAAAAGCACTCAACCACTAAACCTGAGTAAAAGCCAAATTCAATGTCAAACATCAGCATTTTGGGGAAAAATTTTGAAATACATCATCAATTGGAAGGATTGCACTCAAAAGGATTAAAAGAAATCATGGCCCGCAGTATAAGTCTAGTCAGATTTATGAAGCTTTTGATGTGATACCGTGGACATGAAAATTTATCAGACTGCTTTACTAGATTAGCTCAAATCCTTACACCAGCATTCTAAAAATTACTCTTATACTGACAAATAAGTGAAAACATACATCCTCATCATAGAAGCCTCTTTGTACAAAAAATCAAGACCACCACAAAAACCAAAACTGGACATGATGAAGAGATCAGTGGATTATAGAAAACCCAGCACCAGTGAATACATGTACATCATGGCACCAGTGTTTATACCTCAGGGAACTTTGCAGAAGCGGGATTTCAAAGAGTATAAGAGCCAGCATACCTGAAAGGCTGTTTTGAAATCTCAGAAAATGAATCCAAACCTACAATGATGACAATATTACTGCAATGTTAATGGAATTGTCATGTGTCAATATATAACAGGCAACTAAAGATGGCAGACAGAATATTAGCCTTTTGTACAAGTGGTACTCTAATGGATTGTCCAATGCAGACTGCTAACCTTGGAAAACCGTATCATAAACACAAAAAGTTGGACTAAAGTTATATTCATACATTTATAGATACAAACATAAAAAAGCAAACACATACTATTACAATATTGAAATAGCAAATCTGAATGTGGGGTGCATACAGTAGATTGAAGGGAGGAAAGGGAGGGTACAGTGCTATAATTCAATTTTTTAAAAAAATTAAAGTAGCAGTAAAAGAACTATTTAGAATTTATATTAATAGCAGTGCAGGAGGGACCTAGAAATAATTAACATGATATTTAAGAATTTCTTTACTGGGTATTTTCTCTACAATTTCCATATCTCAAATTCGCATCACAGACCATTTCTAGGAAGACAAACCATGAATAAAGGAATCTTGACATAGAGATAAGGTCTCAGTTTATGAAGAGAGATACAACATATATACTATATACATATGTGGGGCTTGAGTATATTAATGCATGTGCAAATGGGTATGATCTGTGTGACTGTGTGTGCACGTGTGTGTGTGTTTGTGTGTGTGCACATGTGTGTGTGTGTTTGTATTTCTAAAAGATAGGCAGATCACTGGCTATATATTTAGAGCTTTGAGACTATTTATGTGAGACGACGTTATCAAGTATTGGTCTTTTCCAACCTCTTTTTGATACAGGTTCTCTTATGTTTACTACTGAACAACATGTCACGAATATCTGTCAGTTCTGATCTGCAAATCCGATCTCCACATAAATGCTTCTAGTTTAGAGATGCTTGTGCTATAATACCTAGTTTTGTTTTGTTAATGTAAGACGTGATGACCCTAATTCTTGTCACAAAACCTGTATTTCAACTGAATTGTAATTCAGTCACTGAACTATCATTTCAGGACATTTCCTATATTCTTGAAACTGTCATTCATGTCTAGTTTTATTATGTGTGAAGATTAATATTGATCATTAATAGAATTTCATTTAGAACAATATCTATTACAAAGGATTCTGGACACAACTCTGAGGTAATATGTCATTAGATTCTGTCTATGCTTAAGCAACTGATGTGTGCAAAATAATGCTATAACTGTGCTGTACTGTTCCTTAGGCATGGTTCCTGGAATGTATAAAAGAAGCAGCTCACTGAATAGGAACATTCATTATCCTATGCTTCTCAACTAGGAGAACTACTTCACTAGCTACAGACTCCTGACATCAGAACTGCTGTATAATGATACACTGATCCCTCAAATAATGAGCTATTTTTTTTCCTACTGTAAATAATTTTCTACAGTACCTTTTCAAAGAAATGAGAATATGTATTTATTTTTTTTTTTAGGATATGTGTTGCTACCATGCACAAGAGCGAGCCTGATTTAACTATACTACTAAATAGTTGATTCTTAGCCATGGGGACTGTTTTATGGTGATAATCTAGACGAATTTGGTCAAATAAATGTCCAGCTTCCATTTCTTGAGCAGTACTTAAACATTATTTTGAATGTAGGTTGGGAAAAAATTAGTAAGTGATTCTAGTGTATCTGTCACATGAATACAGGTGCCTGAGTAACAGAGGTAGAGAAGAATCTTGAAAATGCCATTTTCCAAAAACTATGGTGAATCATGAATCAGGCTCATTGGAGTCTAATAAATAACATACTTTAATAAACTTTATTATAATAGATAAGAATATGCAATATTCAATCATGAAGAAGCACAGAGGTGCAGTGAGGAAGAGATCCAGCAACAAGAAGAGATAATGCAAAGACAGCAGAAAGGATTCAAGGGAACTTTCCTTGATGAGAGAGAACAAAAGATATGGATGGTCCAAATGGTTATGAGAGGTGCTATGGGCATAAACAATGGAGGTGCCATGCCCCCTGCTCCTGTGCCACATGGTACTCCAGCTCCTCCAGGACCTGTCGCTATGATGTCAGATGGGACCCTTGGATTGACCCCACCAACAACTGAATGTTTTTGCCAAGCTGCTACAATGGAAGGAATTAGAGCAATTGGTGGAACTCCTCCTGCATTTGACAGTCCAGCTCCAGGAGCTGAATTTGCTCTACTGATATTAGATACAGCTGTGTTGTCTAGTTTCCTGCAGTCCTTAAAAAGAAGGGCCCTTTTTGGACTAGTCAGAATTCTACCCTGGAAACGTGTTAGGGGTTCTTCCCAGCAGATAGCTCTTCCCTGTTTGTTCTACTCTAGGGAGTATGCTTGAAGGCATAGGGGCAAGGGAGGGGTGGCATTTAACATGTCAAAGTCTGTGGAATACTGTGTTACCAAGTCTATCTGGTACATTCCTGAAGTATATTGATTGTTGACGGCCTGGAGAACCATAGGAAAATAGAATCATAGCTCAATTAATCTTGGTCATATTCTCTCTCTCTCTCTCTCTCTCTCTCTCTCTCTCTCTCTCTCTCTCTCTCTCTCTCTCTCTTCTCTCTCTCATACTCCAGTGACCTAACCCCAATCCTCAATTTATACTTAGGTCAGAATTCAGACAAATGTCCATAGAGGTTATAACATACATACAGTTCTGTTACATTTCATATATGACCCCTTCAGGTCCTAAGGAAGACATTTTCTCTTAGATGTTTTCATTTTAGTATATCTTTAAAAACTGTTGTGTTAACTTGCCTCCACCTTTTTCTTGGACAAAGACTACACTTAAGTATCTCTGATGTTGCTGTTCACAGCTTTTCTTGATAGGCCCAGTACAGTCTTGGGAACAGGATTGCTGTGTGTTGACGGTCTGACAGTAGCTCTTAGTCTTGCCTATCTTAGGTAGCTAATGCTATGCATTATTATTGGTGTACTATGATTTGTTCCTGATACTTTCAATTTGAAAATGTTTCTGAGAAATGGAGCAGTAATGCAGCATCACCTTATTAAAATACATTTGTAACCTTAAAAAAAGACTATGCAATACACAACATAAAATAAATGTGGTGAATGAAACTAATTGAAACAAATAATATGGCTAAATATAAAACTGAAGATGCTTTTTATTAATGACAACTTTTCCTATAGTATATTTGGAGGTAGAAGGGAACATTGAAATAGAATTATTGGAATCTTCTTCAGTCATGAAGAAGTTTCTATTGTGGAATATCAGGTGTTGAAATTGTTCCACAGTCCCCTGCTAAATAAAATAGAAAATGTCATCATTAGACAAACATTCTGAGAGGATAGATTCACCCCAATTCAGAGAAGACTAGTTTTCAGTGTATTTTCTGAACTCTACACAAAGAATTGCTTGAGTTAACAATATATTGGATTTTGAATGGTGTTACCTGTAAATCAGGTATGTTTTAGCATGTTTATTATTCTTCATATATGTGTTGTCACAGATCTTGTGCAACGTAATATTTATACCATGTGCTATGAATTTGGAAAGATTATCTCCCAAATGAAATTAAACAAGCATTAGTGGTTTTGCCAAAGTATAGCAAACCTTGTTGACACAAGGTTCAATAATATATTTAAAGAATTTTCAAATAAAATAATTCTTTTAAGTGATCTTTTAAAAATAATTTTAAATAATTTTATATCCAAGATATCCTACCTGACTTATGGACCATGGGAAGAAAGATGAGAAATATATCAGGTAATACTCTGAAATTCTTATAGAGGCTCAATGAGGAGTACCCTCTGTCATATTTACATGTATGCATATACATGTATACAAGTATTTATATATGTGTGTATTTGTATGTATGTATACATATGTACCTATACAAATATACATATATAATTTAAGTGATGTTTAACAAAACTATTCCCATACTCTAATATAATGATATATCCCAATGCTGCTCTGATATTTACAAATTCATAAAATCATGGAATGATATCATCCTACCATTCATTTTATGACTAATTAAAACTTCTCTTACATGTAAGTCCTTCCTCCTGAGAAGGAGCAGATGAAAATTTAATTCTGCAATATTGGCATTTGACCTTTTCCCACTGTGGACATCTATGACTTTTTCCATAACAGGTGACTTACCAGCAGTATTTAGTGATATCTTTAGGTCATCAGAACTCTTTTGATTTTCTTTGCAAATTGAACTCTCATCATTTCCAAATATTTCTAAATAGTTGTCAATCATGACTTGTATAATAGTAAGCTGTAACAACATAAGGCAAAAACAAGATCATCTTTGATTTCACATAGTTTACATACTTGAAACCATTAAAAAGTGATGACGAAAAGGACATTTACTACGAGCACATCTCAACCTGTGAAACAAAGTCTCTGTCTGCAATGAAGACACTGTGTTCTTTGTCACTTACTTAAAGAAGTTAAAATTTCATGCATATTGCAAGGACTGGAGGAACTACTAAAGCAAAGTAACATATCAGAACTGATGTGCTTCTGGAATACCTGTGAGTCAACAAGTTGATGAGTTCAAAGATTTTTTCAATTTGTGATTTTTTGCAGGGATGTGGGGAGCAGGTAGATTTTCGTTGTGACGGTTTGAATGGGATGCCTGTCTAATTCCAAGCATAGCAATATATGATACAAACTTTGTGACAGGTTTTGGGTGGTTTAAGAGGCTTGGCTTTCCTGGAGAAACTATGTTATTGTTTAGAATTTAAGGTTACAGCAGCCAGGTCCCATTGGCAGTGTACACTCTGTGCTTCACGTTTGCTGCCTAAGATGAGAGCTACCAGATCCCTGCTTCCTGTTTGGTTGGCCTTCCTTCCTACAGCCATGTCCCCTCTCATGACTTTGAAGTACTGTAATCTCTCTACATCTCTATGTCCCCAAAACATTTACTTCTATAACTTGTGTTAGCCCTGATGTTTTATTAAAGCAGTAGAAAAGTGACTAAGAGAAGAAGATGGTGAGAAGAGGGATCTTAGGTAGGAAATGCCTCCACCAGACTGACCTATTGTGTAGGGAAGACTATGGGATATAATCTTGATTAACAATGAAAACTGTTGGGCCCAGATTTCCCAGAAGGTGACAACTTTGAGGTATTAGTCAAAGAATGATATGAGGTGAAGGACAGTAAGCACGACTCTTAAACTGCTTGTCCTTTAGTTCTTGCCTCCAGTTTCCTGCCCTGCTTCAGTTCTCTGTAGTTAACTGGCAACTAGAAGTATGTCATGAAGTGTAAACTGTCTGCCACAAATTGCTTTTCATCAGTGTTTAGTCATAGGAATAGTAGCAAATTGAGCCACTATCTAAATTGAACAAGCTACTCCCTGAGCAGTCCTCCCTTGTGAGTAACATCACCATGACTGCCTTCCTGTAGACCTTGCTTCTGTAAACTACGAGTTAAAATATACACTTGCTTTCTTTTCTTTTACTTTTGTTGCCTTTTTTGGTTGTCTGTCTTTTTTCCTTTTCAAAATGTATATTTTTCATTCTCTGTGAATTTCTCATCATGCAACCCAGTAACACTCACTTTTCAGTTCTGCCTTATGTGTCCTCTCCCCTGGTAACTTCCTCCCAAAGTTTAAAAAAAATAAAAATTAAATCTAGTTTAATTTAATATTAAACGATTAGTGGGTTGTCAGGACAGGATTTAGAGATGGGTACTGCAATCAGGTTATAAAGTAACTAAGTAAATTCATGAAAAATATAAATGCATATTGGTTTATCGTAGAATTAAGAGCTACAGAAAACCTGAGGAACATAAACTCTATATGATATAATGCAAACATGTACTGTCTCTTTTATGTAAGTGTAAGTTAGTGCTGTAATGATAGAAACTATGTTACATAACATAATCTACTTATCATTATTTATTTTATATTTTATTATATATGTATATATACATATGCAATTTATATGTATAATTCATATGTATTTTAAACATAGATAGATAGATGATAGATAGATAGATAGATAGATAGATAGATAGATAGATAGATAGAT